CTGTAATTGAGAGACAACTGAAAAAAACTGTGAACATTTAACTCGTCCGAAATTATGTCGAGGCCATGGAGAAAACTCGACGCATCCATGGCCGTTCCCGTATAATATGGCAGCATCGCTTCTATCAAGAACTTCAGTTCGTTGAACTTATGTGCTTTCGATCGCCAAGGCAGGCGATCGGGAGACCTACCGTACAGAGTCTAGAGGCGCGATTAGTACTGTCGAGGGATTACAATACAAGCTCTCGTACTGTGAATTGGAAATGGAGATCCTCAAACCAAGCGTGCACCCCCCCCCCCCGAGCGCGATCTGCAGATGACCATGTCAGCATGTGTACGACGAGAAACTTGTCAATGCAAGGAGTACCAAGTTTAATCCACTAACAACAACTGAAGTGGCTATCCCAGGGATTTATCACACATTCTTGCATCAATTGCGGACATTGAATTGATAAATGTCGGCCTACCCTATATGTGGTACGATGTATTTGGAATTCCAGCAGCATGGTTCTCCGTCCTTCGTAGAGTTATATTTAATGGTTTTATGTGGCATCTACATGCTAGTATAATACTTACTTGTTTTTTTGTGAATAATGTTCATGGTTCACAGTACAGTTTGTTTAACATCTATTAGATGTTACTAAGTTATTCTTCGTACATGCGCAGAGAACACGACACAGGTCAACGATGCAGATAGCTTATAATAAACCTCGTATCTCCATATATCAATACTATTAAAAACCTCGATATGTCCATCATATGAGGTCTAACTAATTGTATGCAAAATATAGACTGCTATACATTAAATACCTGCCTTCGATTATTAATTTATGTGCCATACATTGGTCGATGAAAAGTATCGTTGTTAAACAGTTTTAATGCTTCCTGTAAATTTATCAAAATGGCACTTACGAGTGTTACAGAACGCCGACGATATGGTGCTGGTGCGTCCGATATACACACACACGCACGCACGCACGCACGCACGCACGCACGCCGCACGCACGCAACGCACGCACGCACGCAAGCGACGCACGCACGCGACGGCACGCACGCACGCACGCACGCGACACACACACACACACACACACACATATATGACTTTTTGTTCTCACCATTTAGAGTATTAACATAATTATTTATCGTAGGCTATGAGATGATTCCATGATATGTGATGAATGTTATTTTATGTATAGATATATATGTATGAAATTCAGTTAATTGTGATGTATTTATTTTGATAGGCAATATGTGTTGAAATGTAAATAAAGCTTAATTATATTTATGCCTTTTATAATTTATGCATATGTTTCTTTTCTTATATTCACTGGTTGATCTCTACATTATAACTGTAAATTAATTGGCTATGGTTGGCCCAACGTTGGCAATTGACGGTGGCGCAAGACGTTGGCGCGCTGAAGCAGAAATCCGTTGGGCCAACGTAGGCATATGACGTTGGCCAACGTGGGCAATATGACGCTGGGCCAACGTTGGCAATATGACGCTGGGCCAACGTTGGCAATATGAGCGTTCGGCCAACGTAGGCCAGATATGACGTGGGCCAACGTGGCAATATGCGTTGGGCCAACGTTGGCAATATGACGTTGGCATGGCAACGTTGGCAATATGACGTTGGGCCAACGATTGCAATTAGATTGACGTTGGGCCACGTTGGCAATATGACGTTCCCGGGCCACGTTGGGCAATATGACGTTAGGGCCAACGTTGGCAATATAAACGTTGGGCCAACGTTGGCATATGACGTTGGGCACGTGTTGGCCCAACGTGGCCAGCGTTGGGCCAACGTCGCGCTGCCAACGTTGGGCGAACGTTGCCCCAACGAGCCAAAATCCGTTGGGCAACGTTGGCCCAACGTTTGGCATGCGGGCTGAGACAGCCGTTGGGCCAACGTTGGCCCAACGTCAGCATGTTATCTGGGATAGCCCCCCCAAAAAGCCACGTATTAATAAAAACGAAAATGGTAAGCTTTAAGATTCATATTTAGCTCATCTGACTATGTCAGCTGAGCATCTGTCCGTCCGTCAGTCTGTGTTTGCATGTGTACGTCAACAATGGTGGCACGCTTCTAAACCGTGACTCAGGTTCAGCAAACTTAATTACAATATGTACTTATTTGGTCAACCGCTACCTGCTTGTAAACAATCAAGTTCCTATAATTACCATAATTATCTGCTAATCAATAAAACAATGAAAACGATTTTTCATCAATATCTTCCTCAGGCCGCCTTTTTTTGTTTTGTTGGTTTACAGAATTTTTGTTGTTGTTGTTGACTCGGTAAGGTAAAAAAAAAACTTGTAATTATTTTTACTTTTATTATAAACTGTTTGTGCAAGTTTACATTTTTTTTATTCATATTTCTTAGAGAAAAGGTCGACGGAAATAAAAAATACAGATTTTCAATTTTTATTTTTTCTAGAAGATTTGGGGTGGGGGATCTGGGGCGCGTTTTACAAAACTCTGTTCGCTATATTCTCCGCTATCTCCTCCGCTATAACTCCCGAGTGTCCGCTAAATAGCAGAGGACGCGTTTCACGAACCTCCGTTTGCTAAAGTCGCTCGCTATTTACCGCATTTTAGCGGACAACTTTAGCGGGAGCTCTGCACGTCCCGCTAAATTTAGCGGAGCACTCTATGGTGTATATAAAACCAATAAAAATACAAAATTTGCACTAAACTACCATGAAATAAGAGCTTTCGTAATAAAAATAGTCTTGGCTGTTTATCATACATGTTATTGGGACAAAGAATTAGTTTAAACTCTGCACAAGGAGTATAACAAAGGTTGTGTAACTAGTTTACCATGCATGTATGTATTGCAATGATTGTTTATGCCACCGATTTACGTAGGTCCTACGCGTGTCGCGAGTATTATTAGTATGTATAACGAGTTCCGTGCATGTGGCACACGATGCTACAGTAATTAGCACGTACCTCCAAAAACACTTCACTACAATGCGTAAGGCTAACGATATACTGGAAATCAGCAAGGCATCGCTGTCAAGAATAATTTACAGAGCGTCTCTCCTCTTTATTCCTAACGTTCCATGATTTCCTAACGGGTTACAGCCCTATAGACCGAAGGTCCGATAGACCGAAGGTTTATTCGAATACGCAGTGGCTACACGTCCGGAATCGGTCGCCTAGCCTCCAGGCTACGCATCCGAACATCCACTGATGCCGTATTCGAACGTGAATATATGCCGCACATCCACCGATGCCACTATAAACCATATATATGCCCTAACCCTAACTCTAACCCTAACCTTAACCCTAACCCTAACTCTAACCCTTTGCAATATTCGGTTTATCGGACCTTCGGTCTAGACTATAGGGCTGCCCCCTTCCTAACGTATGTGGATGTGTTGATGGCACACACATTGCAATAGCTGCGCCTAAGTATGATGAACATATATGTACGTCAACAGAAAACAGTACCACTCGATAAACGTGCAAGGCATATGCAGCGCTAACCTAGAATTTGTCAACATTGTGGCTCGCTGGCCGGGCAGTAGTAACGACTTTTGTTTTCCAAAACGCACACATCGGAAATACGTTCGCAACGGGAAACATTGACGGTTGGCTGCTTTGTGACAGTGGGTATCCACTTGGACCAGATCTCTCATGACACCTACCCTGAATCCAAATACAGAATCCGAACGAAGATATATAACCGTGCTCATAAGGGCACACGGTACAAAATAGAATGTGCATTTGGTGTGTGGAAACTACGCTTCCGATGCCTACATCTGTCTACAGGTGGAGCACTACGGTATACCCCGGACAGAGCATGTCGGATAATTATGGCAACCGCTGTACTACATAACATTGCAGTAAGAGAGAAGATCCCTCTCCCCCCTGATGAGAATGAGGCTGAATTCGGAGATGACGATATTAATGTGGGCGAGAGACCTAATGACAATGCAGATGGGAGGCGTGTGCGGGAGCAGCTGATACAACAGAGATTTGCAATGTAAAACTGTAAACGAGTATGTAATCTGTAAGAGTGCTAAGTGCAAACGTAAACGTACTGGCTTTACAATTAAAAAAACAAGATGAAAATCTTTTATATTATTTTAATTATATTGTAATACTCCTTACAACTGAGTATATTATATAGCAGTCAACAAAATACGTCTTTGTTAAACATTATTACACAAGTATCATACTAATTGCTAATGCTAGTATATTTTGGAGTAAACTAAAGAATGTATGAATTTTGAGCAGTTGCAAGTAGACGGAATTCCCCAGTGCCCATCAAAATTTTACAGTAGGTAAATTTTACATAATTTTTTCCTTTTTCACCAAAAAGTGTTGCTAGTTGTAAGCTATTGGAGTACCCTGAAATGGCTCTAGATTGCATCTCAGAGCTTATAATTTTCAAAAATGTTCTGGCCCCCAGACCCTCATAGAAGTCCCCGATGTGTACCAGACTACCAGTCTGTCTCTCTGCTGTCAAAGTGGAGAGTCGTAGTTACCAAGAAGCTACATATATATAACAACGATGTGGCGTTTCCTTAATTGTGAGCCCCCGGCAAAGAAGCATAAACAGTCATCCGACGAGAGGAAGGAAAAACAGAGGGATTATGATTATGGACATTGATAATGACTAATAAACACAAGGAAGAACATGATATGCTGTTTCATTACTGAAATTTGCTCCAAAATTGGCGGGCCTACAGCTTGGCTGGCGGGCCTGCAGCTTTTAGGAGCTATAGGCCCTGCAGGCCTACAGCTTTTTCTGCTCAGTGGCAAACACTGGTGGTACCCTGAGAGGCGAGTAGGTAAAGGGGAAACAAACGATTTTTTACGGGTGGCCTAGGGGCACTTTTAGATTGTGTAATTTGGTGGTTCACTGTGTGTTCTCTACACATTTTGGGATCGAGTTTTAACATGACTCCAGTTATCATATATGCAATAAAAAATTGCATACATTGATTTGGAATGATAGTAATCCAGAGTACTAGTGATTGCTCTATTCTATGTATTCGAAAGTAAGTTTCATACTTTCCAATTACCGGGCCAATGCAGATCTTTCTTCTCCCGTGTAGAAAAGCCATGAGTGAATGACTTGAAGTGTTTCAGTATTATAAGCCATTTAGCGATTACATACTTTGTATACCTTATGCTAGCCGCACACTATCCGATTTTGCACTGTGCACAGCACTAACGCCCCGCACACTATCCGACCCGATCCCGATCGATCGGGAGGCCACCGCACACTGTCCGACTCAAAGTTGACGCAAACCATGGCACTCTCGTGGCGTTCCAAGCGGATTTATTGTGTACTAAGCGTCGGGAGTGTTTCCCATGGTTCGAATGCCATTCCATTGGAATGCGGTTTCCATGGCGTAGCTCTGTGATTGGTCAATTTCCTTCAGCGCTCGTCGATCGGGTCGGATGGCCACGCACACTATCTGAGTCGCGTCGTAAGCCCTCGCACACTATCCGACCCGATCTGCTCCCGATTCAAAATTCGAATCGGGCCAAAATGACCTCCCGAGCCAATCTTAAGCCTCCCGAGCCAAACTAGAACATCTCGATCCAATCGTAAGCCTTTACACACTGTTATGTACAATCTGTATTTTTTCAGTGCATTAACAAACTTCTTTAACCTTCTCTTGTTGCTGCAGAAGAAAGTGATGATGAACTCTAACAAGCAGAACTTCATTTTACACTTTTATTATCACGTCATTATCGAAGTGCATTAATACGTGTCTTTTGCTTTGTCTTGTTGCTGCAGAAGAAAGTGACGATCAACTACAACAAGTTGCACGCCGAGCCGTCGCAGGGCAAGACCCTCGACGTGATCCTAAAGAAGCTGAAGCACCGCATCGTGGAGACGATGAGCTCGACCAAAACATGTGCATTGCCAACTTGACGACAGTACTACATATAATGGTGAGCGACCGAGATATAGAACGGGAGGGTCGCAAAACTACGGACTATCGTTGCTAACTCGCACTCTGCGCTATACGATGTACGGCGGACACTCGCGCTGACTGCCGCGCACACAGTGCAGGGTCCGAAATTAACGGGAGTCCGGAGTCAAATACTCCCTGATTTACTGTCGGACTCCCTAATTTGACATATGTAGGAGTCCGTGCGACTCCCTGAAAATTCTGCCACACTAACTAGTTCGTTCCAGAACACGGCCTCGCAGAATCACCGTATTTTTCCAGCAAATATCCAAAGAAAATTTGGCAGACGTGCAACCGCATGTATCTTAAAAATAAGCACATGTGCGTTACTGTTAATATCTTTAATTTTGACCTTCAGACTGCGGACTCCCTCATTTTGCTGCGGACTCCCTCTTTTTGAGGGTAGGACTCCCGTGTTCAAAAGTTAAATTCTACCCCTGCGCACCGTTACAGAGTATGGCGCGGCTAAGGCCAAGCGCATCGGCCGTTTGTCACCAAACGCTGCAAACAAACAATAACAGCCACGAGTAAACAACAACATGTCAGTAAATGCTGCAAACAAACAATAACAACTGTAAGTAAACAACAACAGTTCCCAAAATGCTGCAAACAACAACAGCTGTGAGTATAAGGTAACATGTCTCCAAACGCTCAGAGGTGTAACAAACAACAACAATAGCATTCTTCGCGCCTACACAATAACAAGCATATTCCTTGTTTACAAGGATCGTGAGTTTCTATTCAGCAAGCCACACTCTTACCTTTATGAGTTTTTGACACCTCGTACATCGCACGCATGATCTTACGTGTGTGATCCATCAATCCTCGGTAGATGGTCGCATTGCCTTCCATCTCCTCCAGCTTCTTAACAAGTCCGTCTGAAACACGTCACCAAACGCTGCAAACAAACAATAACAGCCACGAGTAAACAACAACAGCAGCGATCGGGGTGCGAGAGCCGCAGCCGAACGCTAGCGAGGCGTTCACGCAGTTCGGTGATGCACATCGCACGATGGAAAAGTTCGGCATCAAGCTGCTAAAGACTGTGAAGCCGGTGAGATATGTGCCAAGGGCTTCGTTATTATTATTATTATTATCATCATCATTATTATTATTATTATCATTATCATTGAATTATAACTATCATGCCAATATTGCTCTTATATTGTACTATCGGGATACCCGGCGTTGCCCCGGGGAAATCAGTGGCGTTACTCAGTTGGTGACCGCTTGGTTGAAAGGAAAATGCCCAAAATCTAACTATCTATCCATGCATCCATCCATGCATTCATGCATCCATCCCATTCCATGCCATCCCATTCCATCGCACCGCATCCCATCCCATCCCATCCCATCTCATCACATCCCATGCCATGTCATGCCATCCCATCCCATCCCATCCCATCCCATCCTATCCCATCCTATCCCATGCCATCCCATGCCATGCCATCCCATCCCATCCCATGCCATCCCATCATGCCATCCCATCCCATCCCAAACACTAAAAAATAATAAGAAATCAAAAGATAAAAGACATTAAAAATAAAAAATGAAAAGTAAAAAGTAAAAAATTAAAAATAATATATACTAAAGAGGTAGGTAAAGGGAAAAAAAGGAAAAAAGGGGAAAATAAGTTCCCCGGCTGGGACTCGAACCCGGAATCCCGGTGTAGGAGACAGATGTTCTAGCGATTAGGCCACTGCGCCATTAAGGGTATACACCATGGATTCACACATACGTGATGTTAATCTGTAAGCACCACCATCTATTGATGAATATAATTTTTATGAATTTTTAACTTTTTTAAATTTTTGTTTTAGCCAAAACCACCTCCCAGACGTGATTCTGAAAATATCTTTAGTTTTCATCTAGGCTGCGGAGTTCTTTAGTTATGCGAGTACGGACTAATTCGGCTGAACAACTTTATATATATAGATTCTTGATCAATGAGTCGTGTTGCTGACAGGGAACTGCATGCATGTGTTCAGTAGTGTAATGTGTGTGCCTCCTTCACAGATGCTGGCTGACCTGAGCACATATCTGAATAAAGCTGTTCCAGACACGAAGCTGACCATCAAGAAATATGCAGATGCCAAGTTTGAGTACCTGGTAAAGCTTAATTAAACCTGGAGAGTAATTCAAGATAAAATTAAAATGAATTAGTTTTAAAACTTATTAAAAACAATTCAAATTAAGGTAATTAGTAAATGAAATTTTCATTCTGCATTGCTGAAAGGTAAAAACTTACATGACTGCAGCCTTTTTAATTTTAATTGTTCATTAATAATCTTTCGATAAAAATAATATAATAATTTCTCGAATAAATCTCATCTTGATATTTAGTAGGTCGCTTAATATTTGACTAATCGAATCAGTTTCTGTTGGTACGTGCTGGCAGGTGGGAGCAGGTTGTGATTAGGAATGTTTGCTGTCTATAGTCGTACTGCCTCAAGGTGAAGGAGATGGATGATGAGGAGTATAGCTACGCATCCTTGCAGGAACCTCTCTACAGAGTCGAGACCGGCAACTATGAGTACAGGTACGTTAGCGATACTGTAAGATATTGAGATCTACACTGTACACAGGCATAATGTATTAGCCTGTACCCCGATGTTATGTTGTTTTGATACAGCGCCACCTATGGTAATGAACCTTC